GACTGAGAACATTGAGAGCGCTGGCGGAGCCCTTGAGGAACTCCAACCGGGGCGCATGATCACTAAGGGGCATGTTTTGAGTGATAAGGATCTCAAGTATTCAGATCGGTTGTGAATATACAAGACGACTGTACCTGCTCAAAACCTGGCGGGAGACATAAAAATGAATTGAGGCCGAGAAGGAAAAAAAAGGGCTGTTCGGCAGCAAAGCAACCAAACACTCTCCCGCCGCACGATCAACTCACGCCTCCCGGTGTTACTTTGCCTCTACTTTTCATCTTCCTCTTCTCCCCCAGTTCCTCTTAACTCACTTTCTCACCTCTTGCATCTTTCTATTCTCTCTCGAATTCGAGTAATCTGCGTCCAGTAATTTTCAAACTTGCATAGAAAGTCGCCTACGTTGTTCCTTATCATCTTTTTTCATCTTCTGTGTCTCAAGCTTTGCTAGCAACCCATACTTCGTCGCCGGATCGATCTCTATTAGCTTAGATCGCTCGGCTTTTTCCAGAATCATGGAGATGCCAACTTCGGAGTCTTCCTCGATTCGGGTCGCGTTTGAAGGATGTGTAAGTCAACTTTACATTTCTAGACCTTGTACTTATTATCTTGCTGACCACAGAAACTTCTCTAGGGCCATGGATGTCTTCATGACATCTATGCGTCAGTCGATAAGGCTGCTGCTCTCAAGGGCTGGGATGGTGTCGATTTAGTGATCATTGGCGGCGATTTCCAGGTAGGACTTATATTGCCCCTGTCAACTTTCCTGCCTCTCCAGCTAACCTCAACCTAGGCCGTCAGAAATGCCAATGACCTGGCCTGCATGTCGGTGCCAATGAAGTACAGAGAATTGGGAGACTTTCATGAATACTACAGTGGGCAGCGTGTTGCTCCCTACCTCACAATCTTTGTTGGCGGGAACCACGAAGCTAGCAACCACATGTTTGAACTTTACTATGGAGGGTGGGTAGCCCCGAATATCTACTACCTCGGTGCGGCCAACGTCATCCGGTGTGGGCCCCTTCGCATCGCCGGAATGTCTGGCATATGGAAGGGATATGACTATCGGAGGCCTCATTTTGAGAGGCTGCCTTACAATAGTGATGATGTTCAAAGCATCTATCACATCAGAGAACTCGACGTCCGGAAATTGCTCCAAATCCGTACACAAGTTGATCTGGGATTATCCCACGACTGGCCTAAACAGGTCGAGCGTAGCGGAGACTTTGAGACTTTGTTCAGAAAGAAGCTTGGATTCCGCGAGGATTCCCAGAATGGCCGGCTTGGTAGCATGGCTGCTAAGCATGTTCTTGATCGGCTGCGCCCAGCCTATTGGTTCTCGGCACATCTACACGTTAAATTCGCGGCCCTAGTTCAGCATGCCGAGTATGTTGTTCCTGAGCATCCCGCGGCTAAGAGGCAGGCTGCCACCGCTCCAACTGATGCCAGTCAGCGTTCAAGCGCTCCACAGGCATTTGCGCTGGATGGTGCCGTATTCACTTCGCTGGTTCTCGGTGAAGAGAACCCATTGAATGAGCATATGGCCTCCGCTTCTACTGCAAAGTCTGGTAAGCAAATTGAAAGCCACGCTGTAAATACCGGAGATTCTCAGTTGCAGTCGGAGAGTGGACAACCTGCTCGTCAGCCATCCAAAACTGACGCATCGGCCGGAGAAGCAGCTGGCGACATGGCGACTAAGCTATCAGCGTGGAATAACTTCCACGCCGTTGCTGCCCGAAATGAAGCGGCTGAGAATGATCTCTATTTGTCGGGCAAGGCACAGAATCATGGACCCAACCCTTATGAGATTAAGCACAACCTGACCTGGAAAAGGGTTGAGACTGACATGGATGGCGTTAATCGAAAGATTGCAAGCGTCGAGAGAGAAGTTAGCCCTGACCGCCAAAGCAATAAAAAGCAGAAGGTTCAGCATGAGTCTGAGATAGTGAAGAATAGCGACGAGATCGACCTAGATCTAGACAGTGACTCTGATGACGCATCTAGTAAGGCGCAGCCTGAAACAGCAGTTTCAGGAAATACTGGCTCTCCCACGCACACGCCTACGACAAACCAAATGGAACGCGATAATGGCAACGCCCAAGCAGAACCAGACAAAGCGGCTGATGTCTCGCAGGATGTGCGCAACCAGCTGCCTGCCAGCTTCGCACGTCCACAGCCTGATCCGTATCCGGTCAATGGCCCCTTGCCCGAGGCAATCTCCAACAAGATGACTAGTTTTCTTGCACTGGATAAATGCCTACCAAACCGCGAATTTCTCCAGCTCCTTGAGATCAATCCTATTTCGGACTTAGATGGGGCGAAGGTTGAACGCCCATATCGCTTGCAATACGATAAGGAATGGCTGGCAATCACACGTGCGTTTGCCAATGACCTTCACCTTGGTGATCCCAACGCCAGACCCTCTGCGGATAAGGGCGACGTCGTTTACCGACCCCAGATTCTCGAAGAGGAGAAGTGGGTCGAGGAGAACGTTGTTAAGCCTGGAAAGCTTGTCGTCCCGGAGAACTTCACTCAAACGGCGCCCGTCTACGATCCCGCCGTACCTCTGACGACTGAAGAGATGCCAATGGAGTACACCAATCCTCAGACCACCGAATTTTGCGAATTGATTGGTATTGAAAATAAATTCGACATGAGTGACGCCGAGCGCCAGGCTAGAATGGCTCGGGGGCCCCGTCCTAATAGCAACAGAGGCGGCATGAACCGTCCTCCTCGTCGTGGCGGCTTTGGACGGGGTCGCGGACGCGGTGGTCGTGGACGCGGCAACCGTTACTGATTTTACGTCTCTTCACATTGCACGTTGCTTATCAAAGGCTGGTTCCATCTGTGATATCGTTGCTCTTCAGCTTAGTAGCGGCATGGCTGACGGCGCAAGGAAGGTACCGCGGATGAGGAAGTGCTGGGCACTTGCCTCTAGTCATCTTTCTTTTATCAAGTCGGCCATGCTACGTTGCTATCTATCGAATTTGTCATCATTTCATTTCTCGCTGCCAGTTACGCCCTTAATCTCTTCCATCTGACATCCTAATGGAAATGGAGTCCAGCTCTACCCATCTCATTAATGTCTCTCACAAAGAAATGGCACCATGGAAGTCGGCCTCTAGTTTCTGTCTTTTATGCCTTGAAATTACGGTAACCCCAGAGTTACTCAGTACATCTCTGACGCGTTCACGAAATAGCTTCTTCCTACTGGATCACAGTACAGGCAATGGAAATGAAAATCCAAAGCATGATGTATGAACTTCGCACAGTAAATAGTAAGTGAAGAGTAAACCGTAACTAATCTCAGTAACACCAACCCAACAATCACTACTATTACTCAATCTCCTCAATCCTTGGCCTCGTAGCCTCATCCCTACCAGAAAGGGGACTAACTCTCAACCCAGCAATGCGATCCCCCAATTCCAACCGAGGCTCTTCATCCTCCCCTCTCGCCCCAATCCCCCACAACAGCGACTTCTCCAACCAAGCCTCCAAACTCTCAACCAACACTCTTACATGCCCCCTCACAATCGAGTCCGTCTCCCGACTCTCCACAAACCTCAACGAAGACAACATATGCGGAATATTCCCCACAGTTGCTGCTCCCCCATCCATTCCACCAGACTTCGCATCTAAAAGCGAGAACCCGAATCCTAGAGCCTGACTTCCGCGATTCTCACGAACGGTATCCATAGCTTTGAGAATATCAAGCAGGAGGATAGCGCTCGCGCGTCGCAGGATAGCCGACTCAACCTCCGGCTCTAGTGTCAGTGTCGCGAGCGCCAATTCCACAGCGGAGGAGATAACCGAGGGCCCGAGGCCGAGGATATTCGTTTGAATGGCGCTAGCCAGGATGGATAATGCGGATGCACGAACGCGGAGATCCTCTGGTTCGGAGTCCGATGCTGCGCCTGCTGCCCAGGCGGAGAGGATGTTTGCGGAGTGGGCGGCTTGCTCTTCGTCTTCGGAGTCTGAGCCACCATCATCGACTTCCTTCTGGATTTGATCTGATAATTCTTGGATTTTGGATGTAGATGTGGATATACTCCATCCTGGAGGCATGGAGGATTCTTTTTTCTGGCGGGCTTGTTCGCGTTCTGCTTTCCGCTTCTCTTTCTCGATTTGCTGTCTGCGTGCCATTTGGGCTTGTGGTTTCTGGGCGCGTCGGCCGGCGACGGCAATCATGCCTTCGGCGAGGAGTTTGGCTGTTTCGCCTGTTAGGGCATCGTTGAGGTCCTGGACCGTGCGGAGAAGGGATTCGCCGATCTTTAGTCTTTGGTCCAGGGTGTGGGTTTCCGTTTTGTCGATGTAGCGGTCCACGAGGGTTTTGATGACCGTGCGCGGGTGGCGCGATGCTAGGGTGCCGATGAGTTTGATGGCATTAAGGTAGATGAATTCGTCGGTGCTGTGGGTTTCGGAGGTGTCGGTTATGATGGATAGTAGGAGGGTGAGAGTGGAGGGGATATCGAGGACGGGGGAGGCTTTGGTGATGAGGTTCGAGAGGAGGGAGAAGCCTTCTGCTTGGATGGGGGCGAGGTCGGAGTTCAGGTTGGATAGTGCGCGACGGTGGATTTCGAAGTCGGCGATTTCGGTAGTTGGTTTATTTGTTGTGGGGATCTCGCCTTCGGGGTTGGCGAGGTGGATCTCGATGAGCATTGATGATGTGGTTGCTGGTTTGGAGAGGTCGGATGGGAGATGGGGGGTAAGATCATCGAGTCTTGACTTGATGGCTTCGAGCACTGGGAGGGTCTCGGGTGAGATGGAGAAGTTGGGGGAGGCGAGAACAGTAGACAGGAGGCTGAACACGGCTGGTAGTGATTCGGCTGAGTCTGTCTCCCCTGCTGCTTCTTCCTTTCCGGTCTCTTCTGGCTCGACAATGTTGGCCAGTGATGAAAGTGATACCTTGCCTGATCGTGTTCCCATGGTCTTCTTGCTCTGCACGTACGCTCGGTTCAATTCACTGTCAATTATCTGCTTGATGAGTTCGAGCACGCGCAGAGGTCGACGGGAAAGGACGTCTTTGAAATTGTCGAGTAGCGTTTCCGCTACCTTGGCACTAATCAACTGCTGCATGATGTCCTTAAAATTGTCTTCCTCGGGGGATAGTCGCAATCTGTCCATCGAACGCTCATTCAAGGAAGGCTTTACCAGCCAATTCTCACTCACGTAGAGGAAAATATCTGCCGTCCGTTCTTCGCTACTAGGATCTGCGCCCAATAAGCTGACGAACAGTTTGGTGCGAGACTGCAATATGTCGACGAGGCGGACAATGTTGCGATTCGTTTCTGACGTGTTGCGCTTCCGCAGCAACACTTTGTTCTTCGAGTCTGAATCATAAGTCCACGTTTGTCCACCATCGTAAAGTAGGTTGTCGACGAGCTTTTGTAATGGTGGGAGTCCAACTGATATGCCGAAATATGTCTGCAGGATGGTCAAGATTTTCTCATGCAGTGCCAGATTTTGATGTTCGAGTGTATAGCAAGCCAGGCCCCAGAGTGGAACGAGAATAGGGTGAACGACTCGCTTCACGAGGCCCGGGTTTGGAGGTTGCAGGACTAAGGTACGCAATCTGTCGACTGCTAATACTATTGTCGGTTCGGCTACCTGTATCTGCTCGGATAAACCACGCTCAAGTTCATCAGGGGCAGCTATCCATTGACTTGAGGAAGTGTCAAGGCCCGCCGTAAGTGCCTTGAAGATGGGCTCCAAGAAGATGGAGTGCCCGACGGTCCCAGGTGCGCCGTAGGCTCTTTTACCCAAGATACCGTTTCCGATAACGTATGCTGCTGTCTTCTTGAGGTCAGGGTCATTCCCGTCAATCAACTCTAGTAGCTGTGGTGCTATTGTAATGAAGTAGTTGGTCGGGTCCATTCCTTCTGGAACTGAAGACAACAGGCGGGACGTTTGCATTATACTCTGTACTGTGAAGATTGGGCCATTCGTTGCCTGAGCCTGAGCTTCGGCTCCCAGGGACGGGGCAAACTGGGAAGCCAAGAAGACCATGGTTTGAAGTACACCCCCAGGACGTAAGGGTATTCGTGACAGCTGGCTGGAGACCAGAGACTTGAACCACGGAGCAGGATCCGACTGCAGGAAACTGGACAATGTTGGTAGCAACACAGGGCTGGGAGTCCTGCAGCAAGTCAGTAGCTGAGGCAGAAGTATTTATCATAAGCCTACTCTTCAATCAGTCTTCCCACATCCCGACGGTAGATATCCTTTTTATCGTCGGAGAGGCTCCTTGAGTTATAACCCAGGTCTGCAGCTGCACTGATCATGTCGCTAAGGACTCGGCCACGAATGACATCTTGGACGCTCACTTTTTCGTCGAATATGATGCTCGAAAGAGCGATCCATATTTTCTCGAGCAGAAATACGTCTTCGGGACTCTCCTGGGCATGATGTTGTTGTTGAGCAATAACCCCCGCAGGCAGAGCTGAGAAAACCCTTTGGTGCAGAGGTAGGCCGAGTCCTCTCGATAGTGACGGGTAGATGCCTTCCACAGCAATTAAATCCAACAGAGCTAGAAGTAGCCTGCGTCTCTTTGCATCTTCCAACGCAACATCTTCCGTTGGCTGGGCAGTCTGGCTGGGAGGATCGCCATCACTAGATGGAGTGACGAAAGCAGTATGGATGAGAGACAGTAGGCTCAAAGCTTTGATGATGACATCCCTTCTCACAGACCCAGTTTCTTTCTCATCGTCACGAAGTGTCTCGTTCAGAATATCTACTAGAGACTGCCCGCGCGACTTTTGGCTCTGAACATTATCTAAATTCTCGGTTAGCTTTGACATTCTGACAGTTCTGGGATCGAGCTTTGCATGCCTCGTTGAAGAACAGAGTCGAGGAACAGGCTCACGGCAGCGAATGCCTCTTTGACTCGTACTGATTCAACCATCCTTCAATCATGGAGAGCTCTCCTTTACCCTAATACTCGCATTTACACATCCTACGTCTATTTCCTTCGAGTCCAGAGAATGGATTAGAAGTGATTACCTAATCACATTATGCCTTCGAGCTGCGTGTCACATGATAAATTGTAGCTAGTCCTATTTCGGTATAGTGTATAATGTGCCGGGCGGCAACTTCAATCTTACTGCTGCTTTTGGTAGTATACTGGGTTGCTACACCAAAATCGAGTGAAAGAAACAATCTAGTATATACATTTATATGCTTGCGAGATATGATTTATCATCATCTCAAATAAGGTTGGAGGTATCGAAGTAAAAGTTATTCTCTTGGCCATGATGTCAACTGAAGCAGGAGTTCTTTTTCGAACTACTAAATATATCAGTAGCCGTCATATAGCCGCCTGGCAAGTGCGGTTTAGACGTGATCGAATAGGTCGGATCTTCTCTGCCCTCCCTCTCTTTGTGAAGCAGCCAAGAACTAATTGTCTGATTCTGCTAGAAACCTAGCATACATGAAGTGGAAATGTCAACTTAAGTCTAGTCGTTTGGCTCCATTGCCGTGGTACGTGGAATCGGAGTCACCGTCATGGAGTATATCCGATCATGGCTTTTGCTTGTTGAATAGCGGTTGGCTGTACCGTCCACGCCAGCAAAAGTCCAATACAAGAGAAGAATACTGGAGATTTGGATATGAGTTTCTTTTTATTGAGACAGTAATGCTTGCTATCTTTGGAATTAATAAGGGTGCCAGTTCTATGCGTGGCGAACGAATAACCAGTGGAAGCGCCCATTCAGATACTGCTGGCACCCCATCTCGGTTGTTACCCCGCGATAAACTAAGTTGCATACTGTAATCGACCGAGATCTCGTTGGGCGTCATATCGCATTGCCCTAAGCTCGGGGGAAGGAGTGAATGATCTTCCTGGACCTGCTGATGGTGACAAAAATGTTGGCACACCGAACCTATTATCCTTGGAGGAACCGTAAACTCGAATGATATCTCGTGTCTCAATCCTCCTTGCAGTAGTCCCGATCCCGTGGATATTACAAGCACAAGCGGCTGTTCCATGCGAAGAACAAGTCTGGCATGCTGTGTACGGTGGGAGTGGTACCGCATTTTCGGGTCCTGTCAATCTGTATCTTGACCTTGCCTGACGAACTATTATTTCGAGTTGCAACTGTAAAAAGCAATTAAATCACACCTTCTTGGTAAATGCTTACTTGATGTTGTGAAATAGTCTTTCTCGGGATAATGTAAGTTATTCCCTTAATATCCTCTCCGGCACTGAATTCGGCAGAGTCATGCTCCAGTTGGAAGTGAACATCCAATTATGGTTTTTTGGATTAGCATCGTGTGTAGAACCAGAGTATAGTACTTTGTACTATGCTCCTTTTTTCATACCAGTGAGCTGCTGGAGTACTCTCCCAAAGGAAGTCATGAAGCCCTGAATTTCTCTCTCAGCGTGATTATATACTTCGGTTATATGGTCAAGGGACGGTCGGCATGTCGTCACGTAACCGATTACAACAGCGTGACTGGATGAAGCAGGAACAGACTTAGGATAATGATATCGGCGGGATACACATCTCAGATATTTATATTGCTCTCTCAAAAAGAACAACAATTACATTTTTCCCTTCGCCCACCTCTATTGACTCCTGCTTATGGGAGTCGCGGGGCCAATCCTAGTGGAAGTTATACTTGGCTAAATTAGACCTCGGCATGTGACCAAGTTGCCGAAAGATGAATAAGAGAGGTGAACTTCGTCTTGCCTTTCGGCGAAGGGTCAGACTGCCGACAACATCGACGCATGCAGGTCATTTCAATAGTCCAAAATAGATTATTTCCCGATGCCTGTCTCTAAGCAGCAACCTAAGCGTGATAATAAGAAGCCTATAGCGTGCGTTACCATTTGGGGGTTTTCCTTAGCAAGTGCGCTGATTAGTCCTCTTCCTGCAGCTGCCACCGTTGTCACGCCCATAAAGTTAAATGCTCTGGCGGACAGCCGTGTTCGAGATGTCGGCGGGCTGGCTGTGATGATGAGTGCCAATACACTCTACGTGATCGCAAGCTAAAGGTGCAAGAGAGGTAGGGACCCTCTCCATCTACCCATTGCTCAGCCGTAGTGTATTCTAATAGACACAGTTACCTCGACGAACTTCTTACTCAAAACGCTCAATTGAGAGAACAGCTACGCTCCATTAGTACCCCTCAGAGCTCATCTGCCACTACTGCCAAGGGTTCTGTTCCACAAGAGTCATATCCACCGGTACAGAACCCTCTCCTTGGAGAAAGGGCTTGGTTCTATCCATACGACCCTTCTGCTCCTCCTATATACATGGGTGATGCAGCATGCACGGCGTTCGCGACACGCTTGCGCCAGTTTCTTACGGGGGATCCCAATACGGCGCATGTTGCTCGAACGCAATACACACCCGAATCCTCTTTACTCGAGGGTGCCACTCAATGGCCCGGTCTTGCACAGGCTCGTCTGCTGGTTCGTATTGCTTTCAACCAGTTGAGTCGCGTCTACCATCTGTTTCTACGCAAGTCAACCATTGAACACCTTGAATCTATATACCGCACGCCATATCTACGCGACGACCCGGCTGTCATGTGCAAGTTCTTCTCCCTTTTTGCCTTGGGCGAGGTTTATTCTTCTCGGGCCAACTCTTCCCCAACGGGTCGAGTTCCAGGTACAAAGTATTATGTACGAGCAATGGGACTAATCCCAATTCTACCCGAGAGACCAGGTGTTATTCATGTGGAAAGTTTGCTTCTACTGGTAAGCCAATTGCTTCTTCAGCATACCAGAGCTAGTACTAAAAGGCATTCATCAGTCGTTGTACTCGTACTTCCTCAACAGACGGCACTCGGCCTATATGTTAGTCGGCAGCGCCATGCGTCTGGGCCTGATCCTCGGGCTGAACCATAATATCCCCGAGCGGCAATGCACTGATCCTATAGAACGCCAACATCGGGTTCGGCTGTGGTGGGCTATTTATGTCTTCGACCGCATGTATACGTCAAAATTCGGGTTCCCGCTACAGATACGCGACGAAGATATTCATGTCGATATGCCCACCGAGGTTGCAAGTCCCGCAGCTGAGGAGCAGTTCTCAGATACAGCTTACTCTGTCGCCAGTATTCGATTGTCGCAGATCATAGGTCAGACCATTGACAAGATATATTGTCGCAAACAGCATGCGGAGTCGTTTCTCCAGCGGGAGCAGCAGCTCTTGCTAGCTTTACAAGATTGGCTTAAATCGCTCCCAGAACATATAAAACTACGCTCGGAGGACTCTCCTCCGCCAAAGCATATCGTATCATTACATTTACAATTTAATCAGGTCGGTTTCCTTCTATGTCCCCGCTGGGGTTTTGCGTTAACAGTACGTAGTGCGTGATCTTAGCCACTCGACCCATCCTACTCCATGCTCTATTACATCACAGCAACCATGATGATAGCGAAAACCTTCCCCAGCCGGTCATTACCCTTAGTGAAGCTTGCATACATGCTGCGCGGCACTCTCATGCACTCATAATAGAGGAGTGGGTTAATGGCTCCCTGCCTATGTACGGCTATTTCTACGCCCAGTATTTCTTTTCATCTTGCATTGCCTTGGTGATCTCGAGTCTTTTGCCATCGATCGGAAATCCGGCAGATCTCGAGTCGCTAGATACTGCTACGGAGATTCTGCATAGGATGAGTGAACACGGCAATCTTGCTGCTGCTGAATTCTACGAGAATTTGAAGCGTGTCAAGAAAACGTTGGCAAACCAACCTGGAGTTGTCAATGACAGCCATGAGCGTCGCAGTCAAACACCAAGGCACTCCCTCGCGTCATTACCGGCTGGAGGCCCGGCCACAGACCCCCATGCAATTGGTATAGTGCCGGCTACGGGTTATACTACCGAGATGGCATTCTTAGAACCGACAATGCAGGATTTTCTCGGCAGGTCGGAAAATGAAATTGATGCTATCCAGCCATATGACCTTTTCATTGATGATAATGCTACTATTGCTGCCTGGCCTGCTACCATGTGGACTTCGTGATCAGACGTATGACTGTTAATGTCGTCATCAAAAGATTAGAAGCCAGAAATCGATACCGACCTGTATGGTGTGCTGTACGCCCGGTTAAAGTCGCCTTAATACCGCCCAAGGCTTCGGGGTCCATACGTGGGCGCAATATCCGAACCAGATATTGACAGTCCTGCGAGGGTGTGTCTACACATTATTGGATAGTGTCCATAGTGTTTCCCACGATCAAGATCGTCTTGATCTTTGCGATTTCAGATCTTGTAGCACATCGGCACACACATTCATTCATTTGGAGAATACTATAATGTCAAGCCAGCCAACCCTTCCGTGAGGAATCAGCATCGGACCGGAACGAGTACGCCTCTAAGATGCTAATCGGAAAGCTATCTAGATATGCTGAATCGGCAATGCGGCAAAAGAAGTTGCAGAAGTGCGAGGTGGAGGCAAGTGGCCACTCATGAAATTTACCAAAGCCCACAATATAGCGAGCCCATGCGGGCATGAGAAATGAAGTCATATCCAGTTGATTGAGGTCTATCGGGTCAAGTCGTAATGTGCGCTCTATATACTGCCCGCTCTGGAACAGGTGTATTGGATGACGTCATAGAGTCACTGCACCGAGGATGCTTTCTACTTCGTATGTTCCTCAAATATATGTACATTGGCAACCAGTTTCTGAATGGGTGAGGCTCAAGCAAAAGCAGTGGAGGATAACAAACAAGCAAACTTAATTAGCTGTAAAATCAGTCAGAAAGTGCAAAACATGAGTGACTGAGTGCGAGGACATTCCAGTACTCCTGTGTTTGCAGGCGGCTGGTAATCACGTGATAACGCGTCGCGTCCGTTACAGGCTCGCATCGAGGCGCATCATTTCCGTCCTGTCCTTTTACTTCTCCAAACACAGCGGCTGTGACATTGGGTGGCTCAACCAACTCCGTGGAGTTATCGATTTCTATTTGTTCAAGACGCTCAGTCAAAGTTGATTCTTCGGAGCTCAAATCTCCATTGGACCCTATGCTCCTGAAGATGTGTGGACGTGTTTTCATTGCTCTTTCCGGAGTGCCGCTTGATCTCGCCTCTCCGCCCGCTACGGGTGTCTATACAGATCTTACCCTCTTACGGCTTCTCAAGTTTTGTCTTTCACGTTTTGCTAGGAGCAGGCGGTAAGAAAAAGCTTGGGAACTAAACCCTAATAGATGCCAATCAGTTCGATGCCATTCTATGGTATCAGTTTCACGGTGCTGCATGGCGGATGCACTGATAAGTGGGCTCGAACTCTAGTGGGGTCGACGAAATGAAAGGAATCCGATGTCCAGAGCTTCCTCGGAGGCAATCAAAGACGGCTTGCCATGCGTTCGTTACAAGCTCCTGAAAAGGGCGCGCGTCGGTTTGCCAATGCTGGGCGCTACATGCTGATCACTACGGACTGTCGCTCTATGCCAGGAAGACTAGGAGTTGGAGAGAAAGCAGGTGAAGCATGTCGGGCAACTCTGTTTTGGAGTTGTCTTAGGGAGCAATCCATGGGTGGCAATACCGTGCCATTGAGGGCAATACTGTGGGCATCATTTATTACATGTGCAAGTTGATCATCTCGAATACAACAAATTGCCTACACACGATCATTAACCCGACATGTCAATGGATCCACTCGTCGGAACCAATATAATCTCTCGGTCGTGTCCAGGGACGCCCGTAGTGATTATATTGCAGCGAGGTCCATTTTCATTGTCGGGCAGGATGATTTATGCTTGGTCATTGTCTTCTATGCAATGCCATTCGACCTTTGGCTTGTTGTCACATTCCGGCACTAGATCAATCTTGGCATGTAATGGTGATGTTCGATATGCAGACATTGTCGTTCGTCCACGGTCTTGTGCCTTGTGCTGTCCCGTACATGCTTCCAACCTCGAGGGACCTGGGACCCTTGTACCTGCTTTCTACCTTGCAACTTCTATAGTACTTCGTCCCTCTCGGAGGCTAGGTGACACCAAATCGCGGCACCAGCCACTGATTTGCGCTTCTATTGAAGGTCCTGATCGCCCGTGTTAACCGTCTCTTTGCAATGTAGGTTGCAAATAGATGATGGGCGCTGGTACAGACTACGGTTTCGGTCGTGGTCCCTCCCTTTGGGGAGAAGAAAGCGGTTTTTGGGGATGTTCTTTGTCCGCTTTGAAATGCCCCCCAATGTTTCGCTACTGCGGGGAGGAAACAAAAACCTGTCCCTGAGGGTACTGTATCACACACAAGAGGTCGGATCAAGTGGCGCTGGAATGTGAATTGATAGGCAGGACACATGTCTGAAAGATGTAGGGAGATGGTGCGTTTGATCCAAGGTTCGACTGGGATGTCTAGGAGAGGTAAAGGGTCGATTTCCCCGCGGAGGTTGTGAGGCATAACAGTGTCATAAACCGCGTTCACTTGACAATTGCATTCCTCAACTGCTCAACTACTTGTCAAAGGTTCTGTGCTACACTGCTCCCACAAACAGCCCGATGATCAGCAGTCGCTGCCTTTCAAACCGAGCGAGCCCTTCTCCTCTCCGTCGCGACGCTCAGGATCGAACCAGCTATTGATCGAAGCATCATCTGGCATCGTGAGCTTTGGGGTTCGTACAGGGAATTTGATGCGGGACCCCTTAACGGGGATCAAAGTTTAGGCTTGTCTGCTTGAATTCTGCTGTTGTCTTCCATGTCACGATTACTTTGGATGCTACTGCTTCTTTCAGGATCGGGCTGAGTTAGCTACGAAGTGAAGGCGCTCTGTTGATATTCACGGTGGCACTGCGTTGAGACTCTGGATTCCATACAGGAAGGGGGCTGGATGTACAGCCTGAAGTATAGTAGCCGAACAGTTGAGGGTGTTTTTAGTCGGTGGACCTGCCGTTCCTCTTCCGGGGAACGGCCCAATTTTTTCTTATAAGTCTCCCCTGTCCCCATAAGCTGGCTTGGCTAACTACAGCAGAACTCTTGGACGATAGCATACAGTGCGTTTAGCTGAATACCCGAACCATGTATAGATGACTGGCTGTCTGTTTCGTTTATCATTACACTATAGTAGATGGGCGATCCCAGTCGGGTTCTCGCTCTGTATCTGGATTCCACCAAGCATCTAAGAAGCTCGCACCTCGGCCCATCACGGACAATGAATGAGGCATTGAGCGACGCTGGTAGCCTTAAGTAGTGAGACGAGCCGAGCCGAGCTATCGCGATACCGACACCCTAGTGCCGCGTTCCCGGCCCGGACCTCAGCATCAAGCACGGCATCCTCACATCTCACAATAGACGTAAACCATGGCCATGACCATATCAACCGACCACAAAATATACCCATAAAGCCATCTCACTTTGCAAACGGATTCGCATGAATCGTAACCCTCTCAATCCTCAACGCCTCAAATTCCTCCCCCTCCTTCGGCTGAACCACCCTCCCCTTCTTATCCACCTTAACATTCGCCTTCTCCAACCTCCCCAACACATCCCCGCCCTCATCCTGCGCCGTCAAATTCAACACCTTCCCAAACACCGTACTCGCGCCATCCAAATGCGGCGCCGGCGCAAACGTCACGAAGAACTGGCTCCCGTTTATCGTAGCTCCGGTTGCGCCCTGCGATCCCGGTGCTGTCCTATCCTTCACGGGCCGCGACGCCATCGAGAGAATTCCCCGCGTGTTGTGCTTTAGTGCAGGGAGGTGGATTTCTTGATTCAGCGCTGAGGGGTGGTGGATGGAGGTGCCGCCTTTGGGGATGTCTTCGAAGGGGAGGGGGGGTTTGGCGGACGAAGAGGGGGAGGTGAGGGAGGGGTTCAGGGAGATGTCGCCGCCTTGGATCATGAAGCCTGGTATGAGTCGGTGGAATGGGGTGTTGTTGTATGCGCCGCTGGCGCAGAGGGCGATGAAGTTCTGTATAGGGAGATAAGGTCATTAGTTTAGTTCCTTGCGGGTGAAGCGGAATGCGCAGGGGAAGAAAGTATGTACCTCTGCTGTCTTAGGGACCGCTTCGCAGAAGAGCTCGACCTTGAGGTCGCCGTGGGTGGTGTGGAGCTGTGAGTGGAGGTGGTTAGTAGTGTTCGTAGGGTGCCAGAGTAGTGTAATTGGAGGAGTGTACTCACTGTTACAGACATGGCGTATGAGTCTGGTCGATCTGCTGCAAGTCAAAAGATAGTAGGATGGGATATGTGGGCGCAATGAAGGACGGGGAGCTGCGGCGATCATCGATGCGGAGCGCATTTATCTGCAGATCACATGACGGTCGTGATATCCCATCCAGCAGAACCACATCCCATTCCTCCATCCCCTTCACGAGATACTCTAGGTTTGGCTCTGGTGTATACGACTAATGAGTGTTTCCGAGTACATTCGATTTGTTTGATTCTGCGATTAGACACACCCAATTCCCTGCGATCAACCATCGTCAACCGCATCCCAATCTACTGCCATCACAATGAACAACAGGCCTGTCGAACAAGCGCTGGCCACGCTACTGCCTACACACGCTCAAGACCTCCCACAAGAACTTCTTAGTCTCGCCATATCACTCGTCGCCCAATCGCGCAGCTTCTCCAGCAGTCTCAAGCCCGAAGAAGAGATCGCTCGGCCGTATGCGTGCGCTGAAATCGCTTGCAAAAGGTGTGTAGAACGCCATTCTTGACAAACCAGAACCTGGTCAACATGGATGATTCTAACCATTCCTCACGATGATAGATTAACTCGCGCTCTCAAACTCCCTCCTCTCCTTGGCCACCCGCCATGTCCTCCCCGCGCCTACAAAAACCTCTACGCCTTCCTTGACCGATCCCTATCCACTGGAATTTCCCGCGCAAGTGCCTCAGCCCCAGGGACACCGTCTCGCGCTGGATCAGCACCATCAACACCGAGAAAGGGCACACAAAGGACTCCGTCAAAGACTGCCGCAACTGCTACTCCGCGAGGGCTACAACAACAACAACAACACCACCAACAGAACACACCTACGAAATCCACCCCTCTCAAGCGCGCTCTCTCACACACCGACAACGACAAGCCCTCGCCATCACCTCGACCCCAGAAAATCCCCAAATTCCGCGCGAATGGCCTCTCCGGCTCAACTATCATCCCCGACGCCCCTAGCTGGGTGATGACTTCCATCCGAACAGTTTGCAAGACGCTTTCGACGCCCGCACCGCGCATGAGCACGTGGTCTCGGCCGCCTATCTCACGGACTCTCCCGCCACATATCTTCGCCGGTGTATCTTCCATTCTGTATATGATTTCCGAAGCGACGGCGAAACACGACGAAGAAATTGACGAGGAGATGATGGAGTTTCTGGAGCCGGTGATCACAGCCAAGGATAAAGAGAATGATGAAGATTTCAAGGACATTATCAATGCCTTGATTGTTGCAGTGTACTTCCTCGTCCTTGCTCGTCGACGCCAACCGGGCCCTTCGTCAACCGGGGATAGTGCCGAGGCAGTGGAAGCGAAGAAAATGGATAAGAAGACGTTCTCGGAGATGCGACAGACTGCGCTGGTTAGTCTTGGGCTTCCGTCAACGGAGAGGCGGCATCGGGAGGATGTGGATCAGTGGATTGCGCTGGTTATGGAGCAGGGGTGGGCTCATGGCAAGGAGTGGTTTGAGAATGTGCCGTTAGCTGGGGAGTTAGATGGAGATGAGAGGGATTTAGGGGATGAGCTGGCGGGTGGGGTTGTCGAGGAGGATGGTGGTAGGGGCAGGTTGATGGTGTCTGGGAGGGGGGCATTGGTTGCGGGCCAGTCTTCGAGGCGTGGGCTGCTTCCTGGGTTGGGGACTATGATGCAGGATCGGGTGGATTGGTTGAGTGAGGATCGGAGGGAGGATTATCTTGAGTGGAAGGCGGATATGGTGGCGCGGATTGAACAGATTGAGAGGACGGCTCAGGCTGTGTAAGAGGTATGGAACGCTATAAATTAAATTAGAAGAGATACCCATGAAGTGAGATGATGGTTTTTTTTGGTGTAGAACAATATTGTAGTTATTCGGGTTAGTTGATTGTAATTGAATGATTAAAAATCCTGTACAAGTCCCACAAATAAGGGTAAGGTTAAGAAAGAAAGAAGCAATGCTATGGTATCATTATCACAATGTATGCAAGTCTATTCCCATCACCCACCCGAAAAGCAACCCTTGAGCAAAACGCGTGGCCAAGTAAAGCAACGGGGTATAGTGTTGGAAAAGCCGATAGAGACAAAAACAAACGCAGATGATATGCTTTGCCGCAAGTCTAATACCAGATACTCCTTGTCCGATGATGCGGGATGGACTCCTGTCCGGCCTTCTCTAATTCTTTCATGGTGTCATAGAGGAAGAAATCTATCAAGATAGCGTTCACGCCCATTCCAGCCGGTTTTTCGACGGGCTCCTTCTTGACAAACTTCTGGGTTGAGCATTTCTGCTGGTGATCTTCGGTGTCTTCGTCTTCTTCTGACGCCGTGGGTTTGTTGGATTTCACTGTCGGGTTCACCCTGGTTTCTGGATGTCGGCGTTCGATTTCCCTTCTTATCAATTCGACACACCAGATACTGGTCGCTCGCAGTTCAATTTCCCAGTTGGAGCCACTAGGTATCGGCTGCAATCTGCGTATGTGGCTTTCCAAGGGCGGCGAGTATGACATACAGCCGAGTTGGTGCAGCATCTGAGGGATTCGATAATCTATAGAATATAAGCCAGAGTCCAGGGAAAGGAGTCTGAAAAGAGATCCCAAAAGACTTACCTGCAAACATGGTGATTTTGTCGATATCATTAAACTCTCCATACCCCTCACCGTTGAAGCAAGCCCAAAGGTCCGCAACCAAGATCTGAGCCCGCTTGTAGATTCGCACTCTCCGCCCGTGGAAGGTGGTTTCGTCCCGAAAGCAGGAGAAGCTCTCTGCTAGCAAATTCACCAGCGAAGCCGCAGAGTAGTTAGAGTTGTAGATGCAGTTCACAAAACTACCTTCATACTCCTGCAGACAAGCTATTCATCAGCACCAGATGCGGGGGAAGTAAAACATGGTGGAAGGCATACTCTGCAAAGAACGCGACCTGCCTCTCGCAGGCATTGAAGGCGTTCCTGAAGCATAGGAATCTCTTCATCGGTGGCAGAGCGAAAGACATGCTTGATGAGTTCCTCGGTACATTCATCTTCCTTGGTCCAAAACTCCGGAGTGGTGATTGGAATGTCTATAACAGTCAGCTTCTGGCGTGTCTTGCTCAACAGGCCGCATATAGACTTACCCTCATCCAAAGCTCTCTGTAAGGCAGCAACCAAGCTCCAGTACCCCGTCCACTTCCTTCCTCGGTACTCAATCGCGAAACGCTTCTCGCTAGGGAGCTCGGACCAGAAACTGAAATTGAGGAGATCCATAGTGAAGATGAAGTCGACCGTGTTCTCGTCTTTCGTTTTTGGGTGTAGTTCGTGCTCTGTCCATGTCTGTGTGGAGTATTCCTTCTTCTGCATCAGGTTCCATATCGTCTCCGCGGCTTCTTTCGTCTTGGAGGGGTTCAATGCGACGTCGATCGCATTGTCGAAAGCATATTGCGCATTCTCCAGCACTTTTGTCTCTGCGGTTCGAGGATCTGAAGAGCCTCCCAATCCCAGTGTCTTGCGCAGAAGAGCAATCAACTCGGGGTCTGCTTCGTCGTCCGACATTGCTCCAGGGGACAGGTCTTGCCCGATGACACTTTTTTTGCTCGGTTAGGTGCCAACAGATGTCTAAGGGGGATTTTGCGAGGAAAAGATCGAGAAACCAGCGAACTCCGCGCTCACTGCAGAGGGGATAAAGAGGAAAGGGGAGGGAGACGAAGGGAAAGAGAAAAACGGATTGAAAATGGGAAATCCCCACGAGCAACAGGCACCGGCAGCGAACCGACTGTCTTTGGATCAAAGACGGTTGTTGCCAGAAAGGGCGATCGGGCCAAAGGCAGGCTCCAAAGCGAATCTCCCAGTGGAGATTCACGCACTACCAAGTGATTAATCTACGGAATGAAACTCTCCAATGCTATTTAGGAAAAGACCTGCTATGCTTTTGGTTTTTTCTTTCTTTTCCTTCAATTCTTTTATCGGGAATTTCCAGCTTCAACTTTTTGGGACGATAAGCGCTGGTTATGTAAGCAAGGGTATCTTATCTCTTCGCCGGTGCCACTTTTTAAGACTTCTGGTGACAGTCAATTAATCTGTTTGGTAAATCATTGGAGAAACCTTTGTTCTTCGTTTTCGCGATTAGTGTACCTCGGAAAAGACTTGTGGTTGAGGCTTGGACGCACACATTCCCGAAACAGCCTGTCGGAATCATGGAAGCATACTGGCCTTGTTGGATGTTACACAGCAAAGTCAGCCACTGTTCCTTTTTTCCCCATCCTTGACTCCATTCAGACGCTTGCCTTGTTCCGCCAATCAAAAGGCCCGTCGTTCAATGCTTATACTTTATGGAAAGCAATTACTGGTAGTATAGTGTGATAGAGTCCACTATGGATCTTAGTAGTCTCGAAGTCTGTCTGTTTTAACGATACGCGACTACTAGGTTGTCCGATTATACAACTAAAGAGTAGACTTGTGCGCAACATCCTGATGCGACAAGTGAGCTATCTCATATAGCATAATTAGATATAGAAGGTGACCTGCTACTGGCTCCGATGCTGCTGTACCCTTTATTCCCTGTCGAATAGACAGCCTGCTTTCAATATTTATTCTGCGTTTCCTGCAAAGCACGTTAGTACTGAGCACGCAAGCGCGCCATGAATGTTTTCTGCAACTCCGAGGATGTTTCGCTGACTGCGACCAAATAGCGGACCATAGATAGCCCGTGGCATCCCACTTTGATGGTAAATAGCTGTGGTTCATAATGATTAGGTAAAGCCATTCACATCATGGAGAGCGCTATGAGTAAGGAATAACAGTCGTTCTGGCACTTTACTACGAAGAACGACGACACATTATTCTAGGACTGCACATCTTCTGAGCACTGCCGATCTGTCAGCCTCATGGTCTGGCCGTAAGACCTGGAGGGAATTTGATGGACTCCACGGCCTATACTTCGTAGAAAAGCCCGACATCCATCAAGTAACGCCCCCACTATGAAAGATCCAGAACATGCAAAGTACCATTGTTGTCCTCTGATTTTTGGTGCTGGGCATTCAGCTCCGGCATGCGAACCCCTGCTAGCTCTATACCATGCATGAGTCGCCCAACCATCGTGGAAGAGTAAAAGGCAGGAATGTGAGCTCTCACATGCTGGGCTCGAGAGATGCATCAGTCGTATTTGAAGGTTGGCGACATTGCGCGGAAAGAAGGGCGAAAAGTACTTGATAGCAACATCTGACTGGAGTAGTAAATAGACGGGTTGATAGTCGAATGGCCTCGTGTCGGTGCGACAAACAGGGAAATGCGATCGGATGCGGGACGATCGCCATCAAGACTGGCCGATCCTCTTTGGTTGCATCGGACAAGACGAAGGTGACTAGAGACTTCCCTTTTATTTTTTGTATTTTTATTTTTTTGCATCAGCCTGCAGTCAAACATCAATTCTGTTGCCAGGCATGAATTGGATTCACCCGGGATCCCCCACCCTGGGATGATGATGGGGGTTGAAGGGGAAGAAGTACTGCAGCTTGGAGTATTCGGGTGAAGTTGAAGTGGGCTCGGGATTGTTACTTCATTCTTCCTGACTTCACTTCCTGGACTGCTTCCGGTCTCCCTCCTCTCCGCCGGAGCTTCTTTCCTACTTTCACTTCTGCCTCTCACTGTCTCCAACCTACCTCCATTCCCTCAATTCGCGCCTTGCAAACAGCTCCTTTGTTCGGCGATGCCTTTTCGCCCGCTCTGACACCGATAGTCTCCGTTTCGATCTACTTTCCGTCTCCGCGCCGCAACCATGACGCGGGAGACTTATCTTAAGCGCTCGCTCGGGACTCTAGCCAGACGAATCAAAGAGGTACCGCTCCCCATCCCACCCCACGCTTATTCTCCTTGAGGCTTCGCTTTTAGCTAGAAGCTCAGCTGGCGCATAACCATGCTAACAATTTCCCTTAATTTGTTTTTTAGTCGCGCGTGCTTCTCGTGGGTGCTGGTGGCATCGGATGCGAATTGCTGAAGAACCTCCTGCTCTCCGGATTCGGCGAAATCCATATCATCGACCTCGACACAATCGATCTGAGTAATCTCAACCGCCAGTTCCTGTTCCGCTTCGAACACATCAAGAAACCCAAAGCATTGGTGCGTCAAACTCCGAACGTCATACTACCTACATCCCCCCTCATCTCCGTCCTTTCCACCCATCTGAACGAGGTTCTGACGGTCGGTGGCGCTATATCTAGGTTGCGAAGGAAGTCGCCCACAAATTCCAGCCCAGTGCAAAGCTTGAAGCATATCATGCGAACATCAAGGATGACCAGTTCAACGTTGACTGGTTTGCGACATTCGACGTCGTCTTCAACGCTTTGGACAATCTCGATGCTCGACGTCATGTGAATAGGATGTGCCTTGCAGCCAATGTGCCGCTAGTGGAGAGTGGAACAACAGGTTTCAACGGCCAAGTCCAGGTGATCAAAAAGGTGCGCCTCCGGTCCATATCGTCTGGGTTTCTCCAACTGGGTAGGCGCGACCACTGACAACTGCTAGGGAGTCACGGAATGCTACGATTGTAACTCCAAGGAGGTCCCCAAGTCGTTCCCGGTCTGCACTATCCGCAGTACACCCAGCCAGCCGATCCACTGTATCGTCTGGGCTAAGAGCTACCTTTTCCCGTATGTTTGTCAGGCGAAAACCACATGGATAACTGCTAATGTGTCATAGTGAGCTCTTTGGCATCAGCGAGGATGACTCGAGCGAATTTGACCACTCAGAAGATGCTGAAAACTGTGAGTTGTAATCTCGGCGTTTAGTGACACTGGCTAACTCGTACTAGCCGAAGAAATCGAGAATCTTCGCAGGGAGGCTCAGGCCCTCAAGGAGATCCGTCAATCCATGGGCTCCGACGAGTTCGCGCAGAAAGTATTCGAGAAAGTGTTTCAGGAGGACATAGATCGGTTACGGGGCATGGAAGACATGTGGAAGACACGAGATCCTCCGGAGCCTCTGGATTTCCACAAGCTACAGGAGGAGTCTTCTAACATCGAACCTGTGGTTTCATGCAATGACCAGAAAGTCTGGACTCTTGCTGAGGACTTTGTCGTCTTCAAAGACAGTCTGGATCGATTGAGCAAACGGCTCAAGACCCTGCAGGACACCACGAAGAGTGACGTGAAGCCTATACTAGTTTTCGACAAGGACGATGTCGACACCCTGGACTTCGTCGCCGCCACTGCCAATCTGCGGGCGACCATCTTCAAGATCGATCCCAAGTCCAAGTTCGACACGAAACAGATGGCTGGCAACATCATCCCGGCTATTGCAACTACCAACGCAATGACGGCTAGTCTCTGTGTTTTGCAGGCTTACAAAGTTTTAAGAGGGGAGTACGACCAGGCCAAGATGGTCTTCCTCGAACGCAGCGGTGTTCGTGCAATCAACTCCGATTCTTTGCAACCTCCGAATCCCAATTGTCCGGTGTGCTCCGTTACTCATGCTAGGCTGAAGATCGACCCTCAGCGCGCGACATTGGACAACCTGGTCCAGGATATCCTCCGGTCGCAACTGGGTTACGGCGAAGAGTTCTCCATCAACACCGAGCTAGGAACCATCTACGATCCCGATCTAGAGGACAACCTTCCCAAGAAATTGACCGACCTCGGTGTCAAGAACGAGAGTTTCATCACGGTCATCGACGAAGAGGATGATCAGCCCCGCGTCAACCTTGAACTCATCGTTCTCGCGACCGACAGCTCCCAGTCTTCCACAGAAGCCGAGAAACCCGCCTCCCTGGAGAGTGTTCCCGACATTCCCCGCAAGCCCAAGGCCCCCGCACCTGCAGCCCCCGAGCCGGAGCCCATCAACGGAGCAGGCAAGCGGAAGCGTGACGCCGACGAAGCCGGACTCAGCAATGGCGACAACCCAGCCAAGCGAGTGGCAGCCATGTCCATTTCGGACGGTGACGGAGCCAACCCCATCGTCTTGGACGAGGCGACTGGCGGCGCGATCCTAATTGATGATGATTAAAATGATACCAGGTGGGTAGTTAACGGGGGTTCGGCATCTTCGACTAACTTGTTGACATTCATCAATTGCTCTCTTGGCTTTGCAGATCTGGCGCATGATTTGGGTTTTGTTGCTTTTGTCTGTTCCTGTTTACTATTCTCATGTAAAATACTTTGACGCTACTTGCATACACAAACCCCGCATGATCGGTTTCGATAGAATGGATGATTACTAGCTATTTTGTTGTTTATTTGCTGTCGGGATGCTAGATAAATGAACAGCATGAAAAGGAGAAGGTGCTCTTGTTAGATACAAGTCACTCCTCACGTATCGTACACACATAATACAGTCCAGTTAATAATACTATCATACCAAGTATCCATACACTCCGAACCCATCACCCAAGATATAGACAGTATGCATCGCTAGATGGCGCTCAGCCCCCCATCCAAATTCAACACACAATTATTCGCATACTCATTCTGCGCCAAAAACACCGCCGCATCCGCAACCTCATCCGGTCTCCCGAAACGTCGCACGGGGATACTCTCCTTCAACCGGGCTGTTTCGCCATCTGAGAAATCTATTCCCAAATCAAAAAAGCATCAGTAACTCATCCTCACCACATCCTCAACAAGATATAATAACGACGGGATAGGAAACGAAAAAACAGGAAAGAAAGAAAGACAAACCAGATATCATAGGCGTCTCAATATACCCCGGCACAATAGCATTAGATCTAACCACCACATCACGCAGTGAAGCGGCCGCTTCAACGGCGACGGATCTCGTTAGGCCGAGGACTCCAGCTTTTGAAGCTGCATAGGGAACGGCCCCAGTTCCAGATTTGTGTGCTAGCAGGGAGGAGATGTTGATAATGCATTTAGATGCTGCGGTGCTTCCACTGGTGGTGGGAGTGCTAGATCTCTTCATACGATTGCGTATCGATGCGCGGATGAAGGCTCGAGACGTGAGTAGCGCGCCCTCGAGGTTCGTGCGCAGGATGCGTGAAATATCTGTGGGTTCGAATTTAGGAAGGATCGAGGAAATGGAGAGGCCGGCGGCGTTGATGAGGATGTCTGGGTTTGTTGTTTGCTACATTTATCATTGTTAGAAATGTTCTGGTATCTCGTCGGTGTTGTTTGTAAGAAGGTAGGTAACTTACCATTGCTTTCTCGAGCTCTCGCGTCCATGATCCTGCTTCGGCGATGTCGCCGATTAGTAGGCTGATTCTGGACGAGGATTCGAGGAGCTGGTGTTGCTCTGGGTTGGCGATGAGCTGGGGTGGTTCCGTGGACGGGATTTCAGGGGACTCGATCTGAAGTCGAGATGCAGCGTTATAGAGTCGCTCGTAGGATCGTCCGACTAGGATCACGCGTGCGGCACCTTCTTGAAGGAAGCGCTCTGCGATGGCGAACCCGATGCCGGATGTTCCGCCGGTGATCATGCATGTTCGGTTGGATAACCGGTTGGAGGGGGTGAATTGGGGTGATGGAGTCTCGCTTGGGGTGGAGTATGCTCGTTGAATAGAGAGTGGGAGGTAGGGGAAGTGACGTTGAGGTGTGTATGTGGGATTGGCTTGAAGCCGGACGGTTCCCCCGCGGAGGCGTAGGATATTCCTTTGGTACATGGTATGATGATCTGGTTTATAGCATCTGTGACTAGGGAACGGACGAAGTGTATAGTCCTCTTGAGGAATACCGAATTCCTCCCGGTATTTTTGCACAGAGTGAAATATAACTACAGCCTGATCAGTCGCTGTGTATTATTCAAAGTGATGCATAACTTACTACTCTCTACTTAACAAAACCTTTGTCACGCGACACCGCAACTAACTGCGTATAACTTTCTCCGCAACAGACATCCGAATAAAGATAGTTAGACAATCAGAAGAAGTGACAGCATCGGCATCGGAGCTTAAGCACGGACCACACCGAACCTGGAGCCTACGAACTTTACTACCGCAGCCTAATTTAATCGCGGAACCAAAGCCGATTACTCACTTATCGCCGCCCCGCGCCGCGTCTCGTACCTTTGCCAATTCCATCCATTTCCATTTCTCTCGTTTGCTCCGTCTACTTATTTCCCTCTCCCGCCACCCACTCCCTCACACCATGTCCGCTTCAAATCCCCCCTCACAGTCCGAATACGTGACTCTAGTATCCGGCGATGGATTCGAATTCGTCATTCCGCGCAGCACAGCCTGCGTGTCGGGGACGATACGTCGCATGTTAGAGCCGTCTAGTGAGTCTTTCTCCTCACATGTGTATATCACTGGTGGCACTTGCTAACAACTCCATTACTATATAGGTCGCTTCTCGGAATCCGTTACCGGTCGATGCGTCCTCGAGAATATTAGCGGCATTGTGCTTGAAAAAGTATGCGAATATTTCTGCTACAATGAGAAGAATAAGAACCAGACATATGTTCCGGATATGGATATCTCGCCGGAGTTGTGTTTGGAATTGTTGATGGCGGCGGATTATTTGGATGCGTGAGGTGATTTGATCTCCGTGGGACTTTGTGTAGTGTAGGTGAGTTGACTTAGGTTGCGTTGGTTGGCGTGGGGGTTAGTACTGATTGTGGCACTAGGTTTATTGCAGTGGGCTGGCTTGGGTTTACGAATAACGCGACACGATGGCTCTATGCTTCTATTGTATATCATATGGAGTTTGGTGGTTGTGGTTTCGTTTCAGCCTTTTCACACGGTAGGGTGGCGTTAGAATATGGGTATAGAACTTGGAAGAATAGACGGATATCTCGCTGTCTCTTGTCCCTTTTTTCGGACTTTTCCCACCGCATGTTTGATCTTGCTTGGTCAGTGAGCTGTAAATGCCACTGGCTCGCCATCTGAGCATCTATATCCGTTCTTTGTGTCCTGTGGACGGATATACTAAAGATGATGGCAGATTGTTACCATCCCCTCTATTCAGTCCGCGTCCTTTCTGGTGGATCTCGGGCCTTATTCCAGGGGAGAAATGCTCTTATCCCTTCAGTTGCTATATTTAGCATGAGTTGTATAATGGAACTTCACGCCCTCAGCGCCCTTTTGGCCGTGGACGCCAGGGTCCCTTGTTTCCTTTAGCGTTCTTCTCCTTGTAGAGCTTCTCCTTGCCGAATGCCGAGTCCGCGATGCGGAGGTAGCTGACAACTCCCTCGTCTACTACAGCCAGGATCACATTTCTGTATCCGTACCGGAGTCGCTGGTACAGCTGGCGACTCATCTTCTCGCCCACCGGTGGGTCAAGCGGGGTGCTCTCGAGCAATGCGCCAAGCTGAGCTGATGTCGGAATTGTAGTGTTCGTACGTGCATTCACAACGGCGAGCCTAAAGTCGGGGGTCGGAGGGGCGGATTTCTTGAATGGCGTAGATGGTTTGTAGATATGGAAGACTACACGGTAGGGCGGTGTCGTGGGAGGCGGAGGAGATGGCGAGGCAGTCGGGTCGTACCAGGGGATGATAGAGAGTTTCTGATATATGTCATCTGAAACATTGTCAGCAAATCGCAAGCGCAGTGGCAAGCAGGAAACGTACCATAACTGCGATGAATCCCAAGCCCCACAACAGGCCCCAACGCAGTTGTAGCGCTACCAGGTTTGTACAGCCACTGCAAAAGCTGTCTAAACACCCCAGCAATCCCAAGACCTAGACCCTGAGGCTTCTCCAGTACGGTTTGCTGTGATTCGCTGGTCTCTGCACCCTCCTCTCCATCGTGCCATCCCGGGGCACGAATGATCGTATACCCCAACCGCCTCAATCCCGTATAAACCGAGTACCGCTCACTAGTCAGACCGCTCCGCCCCATAAAAGCCGCATAAGCAGCCTGTAAGCTCATGGGGATTCCAGAGTCGTCCGTTCCCTCCTCGTCAGCACACCCGACCTCCGAGCAGGGCCACCTGATATCTAGAGTCCCTCTCTCAAGCAGATATAGAGCCTCCTCTGGGAGTAGCCAAATGCGGTTCCAGCGATCTGCCTGACCTATCGACTTGAAGTACTGTCCCTTGGGGGTGGGCACATAGACACACGAGTCGGGATGAACGCCCATTTCCGTGCCTGCGGGTTTCGAGGGCTCCGACTCTTCGGTAATTGTATCTAGCTTTTGGGCAGATCGCGGCGGGACCGGACCATCGGGAGAGTATATTCCAATCACTTGTGTCTTTGGGTGGTGTAGACGAGGGTACGAGAGAGCATTGTGCATGGCCTGCCGCGAGGCGGAGAGAATGTCGGCTTGAAAGAGTGTCGGGTTCGGTTCGAAGTCCTTTTCACCGCGTTTGGGGAGACTTTGTTGAGATCCATCTGTAAGGCTGTTTTTCTCCATTGTTAGCATGTTATATGCGCATTTAGCTGTAAATGAGACAGGGACAAGAAGAAACGCGTGGTAGCACTGACAAGGAAATGCTATTCAGCATGCGGAAGTCCTGAGTCTCGTCGGAGAGGTCGGTGTCAATGTGAGCGCTCGCATCCTGCGAAGGCATATGAATGACGGCCTCATCTATGTCAGCCATTTTGATTCCAGCCGACAATGACCCAATTAAGAGAGCATGTAGTACTGGTTGGGGATGCAAAGCGCGTGAGGGGAAAGCGAGAGTGGAAAGAAAGTTAAGCTGCGCGGGCGGATCGATATCCACTTCCGATAAGAAAATCTGAACGCACGGGGTTTAGTTCCGGGCTTAGCCTGCGGTCTGCCTTCAAACTTGCAGTTCCAACCAGTTCTGGTGAAACAATTGGAGGGTCCAAATCAATTGCTTTCTTTT